AAGGTGTAGTTGTTGAAGCCCTCCAAAAGCAAGTCACCTAGAAGGAGAGGAAGAGGGCTCAGGGTCAACAAGACACGCTTCTAATTTCAACATGAGATGGAGATCTGGTCAAGGGTCTGGGCCATCATAATTCCTTTCCCTTTCTCAAGGCTTGGACCGTTTAAAACCCTCATGCATCGTCATGTAGACAACCATACCAACCACTGCCAGCCTTGCACAGTGGTGCAGGTTGTGCACTGCTCCAGTGACTGCAGCTGATATCCAGCCTTGGTTCTGCTTGCTAAGCCAGAATCCCTGGCACGAAGTTGCATCTACCTGGAGGAAGGGATGCCTTTACCTCAATTGTCCAGAGGCACCTTGTCTTCAGAGACAAAGCTGTCAGACGAGTTAGATTGACCTTTACTCATTTTTTTTTTTTTTTCTTTTGAGACGGAGTCTTACTCTGTCGTCCAGGCTGGAGTGCAGTGGTGTGATCTCAGTTCACTGCAACCTCCTCCTCCCAGATTCAAGTGATTCTCCTGTCTCAACCTCCCGAGTAGCTGGGATTACAGGCGCCCGCCACCATGCCTGGCTAATTTTTGTGTTTTTAGTAGAGATGGGGTTTCACCATGTTGACCACACTAGTCTTGAACTCCTGACCTCAGGTGATCCACCCATCTCGACCTCTCAAAGTTCTGGGATTACAGACGTGAGCCACCACACCTGGCCTTGTTCATCTATTTATAAAATTTTTATCAAATTCAAACAGGCACATGAGTTTTAAAAATCAATTACTCCTAAAGGTTTATAATGAAAAATAGCATTCGCCAGTCACATCCCTTCTCCAACTCCTACCTTACTCCATAATACCTGCTTTTTAGCTCTTTTAGCTGCTTTTTTTCTGGCGGTTATCACTCTCTCTCTGTAGAATAGGCTTGCTATATATACTAACCTATTATAATGTATATACCATTACGTATTATATATAATAGGCCAAGGGTTCCCCAACCCACAGGCCATAGACCAGTATCGGTCCATGTTAGGAACTGGACCACGCAGCAGGAGGTGAGCAGCAGGTGAGCGAGTGAAGCGTCATCCGTATTTACAGCCGCTGCCCATCGCTTGCATCACTGCCTGAGCTCGGTTTCCCATCAGATCAGCGGCAGCATTAGATTCTCATAGGAGCGCAAACCCTATCGAGAACCGCGCCTGTGTGCTCCTTGTAAGACTCTAATGCCTGATAATCTGTCACTGTCCCCCATCACCCCTCGATGAGACCGCAGGAAAACAAGCTCCCAATGATTCTATGTTATGGCGAGTAGTATAATTATTTCATTACATATCACAATGTAATAATAAAGTGCACAGTAAATGTAATACACTTGAATCATCCCGAAACCATCCCTGCCACCCCGCCCACCCAATCTGTGGAAAAATTTTCTTCCAGGAAACC